GTGGGTAGAGGCCGAGCCGCTGGCCTCCATCACCGAATATCAATGTCAGAGGTTCCTCTGGCAGAATGTTATATGCCGCTTTGGGATTCCAGAACAGGTCATCACCGACAATGGCCGGCAGTTCGTCGGCAGAGGATTTGAGGCATACCTGGCGAAGTGGGGCATCAGGCACTCCAAGGCCTCGGTGGCCTACCCGCAGGCCAACGGCCAGGTGGAAAACATGAACAGGACCATCATGGATGGGATTAAAAAGAAATTGGAAGATTACGCATCCACCTGGCCGGAGCAGCTTAATTACGTACTCTGGACGTACAGAACAACCCCGAGGACGGCAACTGGCGAGACGCCCTTCGCTTTGGCGTACGGATTCCAGGCCAAGGTGCCAACAGAGGTGCTGGTGCCCACGCACCGCACAAAGCATTTCCAGCCGGAAGCCAACGAGGCAAACCTACGAGCGGAGCTCCACTTCATTGAAGAACGAAGAGACCTAGCAGCTCGTCGCATGGAGGAATACCACCGAGCCACCCAAAGATACTTCAACAAGGCGGTGAAGATCCGCGAAATTGAAGCAGGGGACCTCGTACTCAGAAAAAGGGAGAAAAGCAGACCGCTCGAAGGAGGCAAAATGGCCAAAAACTGGGAGGGGCCGTACAGGGTCATGAGAAGATACAACCAGGGGACGTTCCTTCTCCACACGTTGGAGGGGAACCACGCTGGAATTTGGAATGTCGAACACTTGAAGAAGTTCTACCAATAATTAGGGATAGATTGTTGTAATATTTTGGTCGAAGTACCATGTAACACCACCAATCGTCATCTCTATATTAAAAGGATTATTTCCGTTCTTCACTTCCTACAGAGAGATTAAAAGCCGAAGTGCTGTTGAAATGATTTCCTCCTCAAAAAAAAAAAAAAAAAAAAAAAAAAAAAAAAAAGAGAGAGGAGAAGGGGAGAAAGAAGCTCCTAGGAGAGAGGGAGTCTTGACGAGGTATGCCTGATCTTCCTTCACCACGTGACGAACGTCTCCCGACGCGGAGGTCAGTAGGAACGTGGGGGGGGCTGGACGTACCAAAGGGAACCTCGGCAGGATAAACCAGTTCCCCCATGACCCGTAGGCCGGTGAACACCTTCTGCCGAAGCAGAAGGTTAGTAGGGCCACGGATATGGGGCGACGAAGCAGGGAATCCCGACGTGGATAAACCAGTGACCTCCTTGCGATCGTTGGATGACCGAACGTCTTCTTCGAGGAAAGAAGATTAGTAGGACCACGACAAGGACGAACGAAGCCCGGTTCCTCCCCCTGATGAGCGCATGACGAAAGCCTTCTGCGAAGCCAGAAGACTAGTAGTTCGCGGCTGGGGACGAACGGAGATAGGGAATCCCGACGTGGATAAACCTGTCCTTTCTCGAGGCGGGGATGGCGAACGTCTCCTACGAAACCAGGAGACAAGTACCCACGAAGCTAGAGAAGGACAAAAACTGATGAAAAGACTCCAAAAAAAAAAAAAAAAAAAAAAAAAAAAAAAAAAAAAAGAGAAAGAGAGACGGAGACATGGAGCAAATAATGATTTTTATTCTTCGGTACTGATGACCGGAAAGTACAATGTATGATGTAAATTACAGTGTAAATAATTGTGAGGTACAGACTATGAGCGGAGAATTAAGTTTGGCCGGCGTCGGGAGTTGGGGCCGTAAAGGGGACCTGCTTGGTTTTTTCCCTGGCCTCAGCTTCTTCGCGCTCCTTACGCTCCCTCAGCAGTTCGAGGGCCCCTTTATGGGCGTCCACCATCAGGGAATCGAAGCCAGCTGCCGCAGGATCAAAAGGAGCCCCAAAGTGACGCTCAAAGACAGGAAGGTTCTCTGCCACAAGGCCGACCATACCCTTGAGATAAGTATCGTCGGCGAGATCATCAAGGAAGCGCTCCCCAGTGGGGGTGGCCTGAAGCAGCTTGATACCATCTAGATAAGGGTCCGGGCAGGTGGCCAAGAACTCGCCGACGAACCTCGGAAGGAACTTCCTGGCCATGGTCTGGATGGCACCGGTGTAGGCTTTGGACTTCTGGAACTCGATGGAACCAGACTCCTTGATCTTCGAAACATCGGCTTCATAGATGGGGACATGATTATCCACACCCGTACGGCGGATCCCCACCTTAGCCTGTTCTACAGCCCACAGCCGGCTGCGAAGATCTACAAGCTCGGCCTCCTGCTTCCGAAGAAGTTCCTTCTGAGAAGCGCTCTCCTGGACGAGCTTATCATAGGCGTCAGCCTTCTCTTGGAGCGTCCCAGCCCTGCCCTTGGCATTCTTCAGAAGGGCGTCGCATTCAGCCCGCACCCGGGCCATTTCCCTGCCTTGATTCTCAAAGGCCATCCGAGCCCGGTGGAAATATAACCCGGCCTTGTCAAGAGTGCTTTGCCCACACTCCAGGAGATCTTCAGGAGCTTCCTGGGCGGCGAAATCCTGGGGGACCTTGAGGTTAAGGCCACACCAGATCGAGGATGCGGTCTGGCCGAAGAGCATCATCGACTCCTTACGAGGGCCAACCCCCGAGAATTCGATAAGGCCAAGGGAGGACCCGTTGGTTTCTGGGGGCGAAGGGGGACGAGCATCGTCAGAACCCTTGGAAGCAGGGACATCTTCATCCCTAAGTCGACGGACCTCAGAATTGGCCGGAGGGGAAACAGGGGGCTTGTTCCGGGAGGAGGGCCTCCGCTTCAGGGGACTCCCCGGCTCACCGTCGGAGTCATCAGCCACTATGATGGCTTTGGAGGCGGTACCATCAATGCGGAGCCTCTTCGAAGCCCCGTCCTCTGGTGCGTCATCTGATCGCCTCCTGCTCGTCCGAGGCTCAATTTTGGGAACGAGCGGCTTCCTGCCCTTGTCCTCATGCCTGTTGTCGCGGCCATGGGCATGCGAAGTAATATGATTGCGCCCCATGGATGATATAGTTGGGAATACTCCTGCAGGAAGAAAATCAAGACGTTCAGAATCGTAACAACTAGAAGATGACAGGACAATGCAAGTACAAATAGACGCACCTAGCCCGGCCCGGGCCTTGAAAGGCTCGGCCACCAGCGACCGGAGGTTCTGAACGCCAAGACCAGCTATGCGTTTGGCATAGCCGAGCTCCTCATCCGTCATGGGCGGCGGGATGGACTTCACCGGGTAGGCGTTCCACCTATCGGAGAAGGGCATCGGGGAGCCCACGTCGGCAAGGAAGAACCGCTCCTCCCAGCCGTCCGGATTCCCGGCGTTGTTAGAAAATAGGACCATGGACGGACGCGCGATCAGGGTTAAATACCCCGTACGTCCGAAAGGAGATAGCCGGAAGAAATGTTGCAGCAGGTCCACGGTGGGGGTCACGTCAACGCTGTGACATCTGATTATAAAACCCGCGATGATCCTATAAGCAGCGGGGACGAACTGAGCGGGTGTCACCCGGAGGCCCCTAAAAAGCTCTATGTGGAAGCTGTGGAGGGGAAACAGGAGGCCGGCTATGACAGAGTCCAAGTGGACCACCACGTAGCCGGGCAAATGGCGCATTGGGTTGCGCAGAATCCGATCGTCGTAACCCCTTGGGGGAAGGAACCATTGGCTTATCAACCGACGGTCGGCGTTCAAGAGACGCTGGCGCTGACGACGAACGCAAGAGAAATTCAGGTGATGACGGGGGGGCCATGGTGGCATACCCCGCTCATAGAACTCTAGGTCATCACCAGAGGAGCACCCATCGTCAAACCTATCAATAGTTTGGGACCCTGGTATGGACAGAGACATGACGACGTTCGGTACCTACGGGTGCTGAAGTCGGATGCGGTACCAAAGAAAGCTAGAGAGAGGAGATGATTGTGCAGCACAAGAGCTAGAAATGGAGCAAATGGAGGTTTCGCAAGGCCTTGGGTACTTATAGGCAGCACCGCGAGGCTGCGCCAATCACGGTGGAACACGTGGCATCCGGATACCGGTACCTACCGCGGTATTAAAGGCTCCTCGATGTTATCACCTCACAGCCACTTCGAAGGAATCTGGCTTGATGCCACGAACGTCCCCCGAAAGGGCAAACAGAGAACGTACCTGCAGGCCAAATTCACAGGAGGACGTGCGTGTGTGCCTGAAGGTCCCATGTTCACATCAGACGCACGTCCGAGACGGGTGCCTGGCTTAAGCACAGGCGCAAAAGGGTACGCCACTCCAGAAGCGGCGATCTCCCCCATCAGGACGGGGCTCGGGGAAGCGCATCCGATGAGCGTCTTCGCCAACTCTGGCCCGGGGAATTACGGCCGCAACCCGTACGTCTAGGGGAAGTGGTTTACATATATAATGCTCCCAAAGCATACGCTCATACCCCGATGGATCGAGAAACAGGAATGGAGTGTGGACGTGAGCGACCCCACGGACGGTTACGCAAATGGCCAAGAGGCGGGCGTCTTCACCAACTGATTCGGAAGAATACTGCCGCATCTTCGCACGTCTTCCTTCTGACGAACGGATTTGGGGATGAAATATATGTGGGGTGCTCTCAGGCATACGTTCGTATCCCGAGTTATGGACATGAACATCCCCGAAGAAAAACGAAAAACTACCAACGAAGAAAGGAGATAAAAAGAGTTCATGAGCGTAGAGACAATGATAAGGCAAAAAAGAGTTGTATATTCTTCGGCTCTACTGGCCGGATAAGTACAGGATCAAAACAAAGGGACTACGAACTACATTACACAAAATTTGGAGACAAAGGCCGGGACCCCCCAGGGATGTTTTCTTCTTCCTCCTCGGGCTCGGGCTCGGGGGACGGGGGCTCCGGGACCTCCCCTCTGGCTCTGGCCTCCTCCCGCCGGGCGTCTCTTTTCAACTTGCCCACCACTCGGATCAGCTCCGGATCTGAGGCATGCTCGGCCAGATCAAAATTGGGCCCCTGAAGAGCGGCGAAGACCGGCAGCGTGGCCTTTACCCCCTCGTTGTAGCCAATGACGAAGGAGCTATCCCCAACGTCATACAAGAACTTCTCGGCCAGGGGCGCACTCTCCAGGATTCGGACCCCGAATTTGAGGCGGTCCTTGGGCGCCTGCTTTTGCAGCTCGGCAGCGAAGACATCACCAAAGGCGCCCCCAAGGTACCTCTGGGCGGCAATCATGAAGGCCCCGGAGTTGTGGTACCCAGAATCGTCGACGAGCCATTCAGGGGTTTCGTCTTTGGGGGCAGGGAGAGCTGGGACGAGCTTGAACCCGGCCTTCTCGAGGACCGCGAGCTTCGCGGAGGACTCACGGGCTGCCTTCAGGGCGGCCTGCAATTCTTTATCCTTGGCCGCAAGCTCCTTTTCCTGAAGACGAGCGGCCTCTCTCGCCTTCTTCAGAGCAGCATCTGCCTTGGTCTTCGCCTGGAGGACCTCGGCATCTCGGGCAGCCTCAGACTGCAGAACGGAGAGCCCGACCTACAAATCGGATGCGGGAGGTGAGACTTCAAAACATTAGAATAAAAGTGATCAGGCAACACGCGCGGAGCGAGATCTTACCTGAAGAGCGGCGGCCAGGGCCGCATTGGAGGCTTCCGAAGACGTGCGGGGAGGCATCTCCACGCCGGCCAGAGAGGCAACCTCCTGCCAAACGTCATGCGCCGGACGTCCGAGAGAGGGGAGGATCACCCCTTGCCCTTCAAGGGCCGAAGAACCAGTTCCCCTGGGCCTTTTGGACTTTTTGTCCGCTTTCTCCCCCTCCTGGGGATGGACGGCCTGCAGAGGCGCCACAACCTCGGGGACGCCAGAATCAAGGACTGGGGCCTGGGACCCTTGTGCCAACACCGTGGCAATGAGGTGCTGCTCCGCCTCCACGGTGCGACGATCGGCCTGGGAGGCGGAAGAGTTGGAGTCAGCTGCCTGGACGGTTTTGGCCTTGGCAAGGGCAGCGTCGGCCGCGGCGCCCTTCCCCTTCCGATTCTTGAGGAGTTTTTCGTGATTCATCTGCTCCTGGGTTGGGGGAAGACCTGAAAAAGACAAAGGAAATGGGTTAGATGGACGAACGTCAGTAAAAAATCACCTCGGAGGAGAGGACCGCCCAATACCCCGAGACGAGCGTAGAAGGGGAGATGTCCAAGAGCATGGGCGGTACCTATTCCTGCCGCGGCGAGCGCCTCGAAGGTTAAGAAGTCGTCTAAGGGGCGGATGCCGCCCGTCGAGATCTTTTTGATGTCCTCCTGCAGATCGTTGGTCAGCTCCGGAGATCCAATCTTGGGCGGATAGCCATTCCAACGCAACGGCAGACGAGCATCCGCGTACCGCACGAAGAAGAACCGATTCTTCCAGTCGTGGATGGAGCTCGGTGCTCCGCTGAACAACCTCCGTTTCGGACGAGCAGCAATGCTCAGGAAGCCGTCAGAATTTTGGGGGGTGAGCCGGTAGAAATAATGGAACAAGTCCAGAGTGGCGGTGACCCCATTGTCCTTGCAGCGGACCAGGAAGGCGGAGACGAATCGATAGGAGTTCGGCATGAGTTGTGCGGGGGCTATCTGGTAAAAACAGAAGAATTCCACGAAGAACGGATGAAGGGGGAAGCGCAGCCCAGCCTCGATGGAGTCCAGAAGCACCATAACCATCCCTGGACGTCTCCTCATCACGTGGGTTGCACCACGCAGGCTGTATACGGACGGAGGGGGGAAGAACACCTTCAGTTTGTTGAGGGCCACCTGCGAGAAGATCTGCTCATGGCACAGGACATTCTTGATCGGGCACAGATGCCTCTCCACATCTATCTTCAGCCCGAGTTCGAATATTTCAATGTCGGAGCCATCCTGGGCTTCAACCCCAGAATCATACCCATCTGGACGCTCGTCCTCACCAGCGGACTCCCGTTCCCCGGCATCAGCCACAGGATCCACAACATCGAGGGCCATATTCCCTTGCTCCCCCAAGTCGGCACCTTCTTCACCAGGAACCACCACAGCAACCACATCTTGGGCATCCCCGGCCTGGACCGTTCCCACGGTAGAGGCTGAACCGGAACTCCCGGAAGTGCTAGTCTCACCCGAAGAGCGTGAACCGGAGTCAGAGGAGGAGCCCGAAGAAGAACCCGATGAACCCGAACCAGAACTCGATGAGATCTCCATCGAAACCATCTCGGCAAGAATTCAAGACAAAGGAAAGAAGCAGGGGGTGGAAATTACCTTAGCAAGGAGTTAGCCGAGCTTGGATTCAGGAAACTTGAAGAGCTGCAGAAAATCGAGAGCAAGAAAGCAGAAATTGGGAACCCTAATTCAGAGGGAAAACCCAGCATTTATAGGAGAAACACCGATGAAGAAACGAATGAGGGGCTGACACGTGGCAAGGAGCGTATTCCGGCCCACGCGCTGTGCGTGGGATGGGAACGTAATGATGACACTTCCTCGGGAAAATGCGCCGCCGCAACATCAGCCGTCACCTCGTTTCCTGAACCGTCAACGGCTGTCAAGCACCATGACCACGAACGTACGCTTCCACCAGGTGCAATAAACACAAGTACCAAGATACGGACGTCCACTTCGGGGAGGTTCATACTTCCTTATGTCCTGCGCATGCTCAGAACATCAGAAGTGGGGGACTTGTGTTGGGTTAAGGGCCCAAGCCGAGGTCCGGCCCACTAACCCATTTTGCTAGACGAACGTCCAGTTAGAACACTAGGCCAACCCACGGGCCCATGTTCCCTGAGGATGGACGAACGTCTGGTGTTGGGGGACTCAGGCCCAGCAGCTCATCCCGACGAACGTATATGCAGGGACAAGGAGCAGAACCACGGGCCACCAGGGATGGCGACGAACGTCCCCAGGACAAGCCTGTAGTCATCGGGGAAACCCAGTCCGCATGATGAATACCATTCAAGGCCAGGAGACGAACAGCCGATATCTCTCAAGGGTACACTTGGAGCAATCCAACTCACTTCCCGGGTGGATGAACGTCCCCACTAATCCGGCGGGAAACCTAGATTCTGGCGGGAAGTGCATTTAATGCTAAAGATTTGGTAGTTGGGACACCAGCGGTCCACAGGCTGCCACGTCACTACAGCCACCTGCCCATAGGCGGGTATAAATAGAAGCATTTATTTCATTGTAAAGGGTTGGCAACTTTCTATTCTTAGCACCCTAGCTATAGCATTCTATTCGCAGCACTTCTACTGCCTTGTAAGACGAACGGCCGACGGAGCCTTAGCAAAAAGTATTGTATTAGGGAGTTATTAAGAGATAATAATACCTAATCATTTACTTGCTACTTATTTGTTTCTTGATCCTTATCATCTGTCTGTTGGGCTAGTTACTCATACGCACTCCACTCGAAATCTTTGGGCTTACGTGTTGGGCCTGAAGGTTGAAGGAATAAACATCAACAATAATAATTATAAAATTAATCATAATTAAAAATATAATTACATTTATAATTGTATCTGTATTTATAATTAGTGTAATTGGTATAATAATTATAATTTTAAATTTAATTTTAATTATTATTTTTTATAATTACGATTATAATTGTAATTTTATTTAAGTTATATTTTTAATTACAATTATAAATCTAATAATTATAATTATAATTACAATTATAGAAATATTCAAATCAGATCAGAAAGATTCAGATCAGAAGAATTTAGATCAGATCAGAAACATTCAGATCAGATCAGATCAGATCAGCAACATTCAGATCAGTTCAGCAACATTCAGATCAGATCAGAAAGATTCAGATCAGATCAGAAAGATTCAGATCAGATCAGATCAGATCAGAAAAATTCAGATCAGATCAGATCAGATCAGAAAAATTCAGATCAGATCAGATCTTAAAAAATTCAGATCAGAAACATTCAGATCAGGTGAACGGAACAGCTTCTAAATATATAGTGACCCCAACTCTTTGATCTTGAATGTTGTGGACTTTGGGGTCGAAATTCGGTTCTCATTGACATGGTGTACATAGGGGTGGACCGGGTCGGGACGGGATCCGGGACGGGATCCAGGTCCAAAATATTCAAGCCCGGTATCGGCCCAGGTTAGTACCAGGACCGGTCCGGTCCGGGTCAGGTCGAGCTCCAAATATTTTTTTTTGTCTTTTCGAATTAATTTTACCCCTCCCCCACCACCAAACCGCCCAGCCCCACCTACCTAGCAGCCAGTCCAATGTAAAAAAAAATACAATTAATTGGGCTCGGCCGGACCGGTCACCTAAAAAGAGAGGCCATAGCCCGCCTCAGTATATCCTAAGTCGGTTGACCGGGCTGAGCCTGGACTACACAGTACCGGTCTGGGACGGGTCCCGGGTCGGGTCGGGCCGGGCCGGCCCAGTCCACTACTAAGTGTACATGTGTCTGGTACATATCAAAATTCAAAACAACTTTTTACGCATCTGTTGAGATTTCATTTGGTACAACTCGATAATTACTCTTTCTAATTTTCTATGACTAACAAAAACAAAAAGAACACATAATTTAATAGAGACATTAAGTGAGCTCTAGAAGTATTTCATCATTTGGTCATCATTTTAGTGATAAAAAATATTTAGGTGATACAAAATAGACTCGTTGGAAATAAAATTAAAATATAAGTGATTATTGACTCTAGAAAAAAAAATAGATTAAAAATACTCCGTATATGTCATGAATTGGTACCCTCGTTATAAATTTCAATTTATTTCTATTTAATAGGCTGGAAATAAACTGAAGAGTAAAAGCTAGTACATGATCTAACTAATCATTAGGTGATTTTTTGTTTAAACCGACAAAGAAAGATGCATAGTAAACTAAAAATCTGCCCTCCCATCCCTTCCCTCCAAAATCCCCGAACCAAGCAAGCTCGAGAACAATAGTGTGCCCCTTCACACATGCTTCTTGATGCTCGGTTAATTATTAGAATAAATCTTCAGAGAGATGGTTTTAAGTAGTGATTCTTAATTTAATGACACTCCAAGCCTCAAAGATCAGCAGAAGAGGAAATGTTTTGTGCAAAATGGGTAAGGTATGCTTCAGCCAACATTTTGCCAAGTTGAACCTGAGCTTCTGTAGTCAAATGGAGTTTATCATCCTTGAGTTGCAATCCTAAGGCATCAACACAAACCACATTTGGAAGGTTAATCATCTTTTGTGATTTTCTTACTTCTCCAATGTACTTTTCATCCCCTGATGCAATAGCAACCTGAATGGATGATATTCATCAAACAACATAATATCATTAAAAATTTCATCATAGGCAGATTACTACTTCTTTGAATCTTTTGAAAGTTCATGCAATTGCAAAGCATGAGAATTTACCTTTTTTGAGTTTTGACTCATTGATTATAGGTTTAAGTTTATTTCTATATACTCAGAGTATAGTCATGTTTTCAATATAGGTGTGTGTGACTCTGCAAACGAAATATTACTTATTTTGAAACACAAAATGACTTAAAAAGGAGATATTGAGATGATCTTAATCATATGTCAATTTGGTGCTAAATGGAGATTGATAGAGGTTGAAGAGACTAAACAGCAAAACAGCATACAAATGCAGGGAAGATAAACAAAAAGTAATTAATATTGTAAAGAAAACTAATTTTAGAAAGACCTGACAAACACTATACATACAAGGACTAAAACCATATTTAAACCTTGACTATATACACAGGGATTTATAAAAATTAACAAAAACATAAATGGATAAACAGTACTGAGAAACTTATACAAAATTGATGAAAATGACATTGACACTACTACAATAAAATGTCAACTGACCTGAACAATTGGCAAAGAGGGCAAATTCATATCGCAGCGGAAGTTGTGTATTAGTGTTTCCATATTAGATTTATAACTCTCAGCATCCTGTTTCGATAATGTATCACTCTCTCCTTGATACCATAATAACCCCTTGATCTCACAGCCATCTCCACAAATGGCAGCTTTTGCTCTACTAACCATGTTTTCATACAAAAGTTCCCCTCGTGCCCACTCCTTTAATGCAGTTCCACCTACAGCACATGGCACTAGGCCCATAACACCTACACTCTCCTTCATGGCATTTGAAAAAGACATTCCTGGTCCCACACCACAGGTCTTCTTGGTATCAATGTCGTAATGCAGTGGCTCAGCAGCAACCTCCCAGTGACGCTGTGCACTGAAACGGAAGATTTTGGATGGGTCAGGGCTACACTGAGAAGGAACTACTCCATCCCAGTGCTTGTGCTTGTCTACTCCACCACGGCCAGCCATGTTGCTTTGGCCTGATAGAATGAAGATATTCTTGGGTGACTGGACTGCAGAATTATTCTGGCTTGATTTTGAGTGCTCCATGTGAAAATGGTGTGAATCCGGATGCTCTCTTAGAAGAACCTTCTATGTGAGAAATAAATGATAGGATGAAATTCTTATTCGATTTGTTAGACTGATCTCCTTACAAGAGAATAAGAGTTTTGGTGCTGATTTTGCACACCATCCTCACACCTGCTCAAGAAAGTCACAGAATTCTAAAATGAAACAAACATAAACAGAAGAACTCTCAGAAACAGACAGCAGCCCGTGTTTTAGGGACTTTGTTTATTAAATCTGTTGTGTTTTGCACATGCTAGGGCAACTACAGTTTTTAAAAAGCATATCCGGATGCATCATGATATTTGTATTCATTCAAGGAAACGCAAATGAACATTTTAAAGGGAAATTAAGCAACTGTCAAGGAAATCGAGGAGCATTCTATAGAGAAAAATGAGTAATTAAAAAAAAAAATACTATGTTCAAGAGAGTCTCATACTCGCAATACAACGCCCTAAACTCAAAATCTCAATCGTGTAAATGGTTACAAATTGGGTCTGAACTAGCCAATAGGTACTTCTTCAAGCTCGAAACTACCATCCGCTAAAATTACAAATTATTACGAGAAAAACATAAGTAGAGATTATTGAAAACTTACGTGTACTGAAAAATAAAAGTAGTTGACGGAAGAATGAAAAACTGCTGATACTTTGACGTATTAACGTATACTCCGTATCTCTTGCCCAAAAGGAAAATGGAAATCGAAACAAAAACTGTAGAGATGGATCAGTCCAATTACCCGGATGGCCGGATCAAGTGATGCAATCTAGTCGGAGAAAACGCCAGAGGGAAGGCCTTCATCCAAATCATCGATAAATCCAACCACCTCTCCTGACTTCATTCATAAGTCATAACCGGTTACATCGTTAAGAATGTTTTCTTTTGGACTTTTTTCAGTCCCAGACCATACCAGACTTGACTTCCGTAGTTATAAAATACATAGATATCAGACGTTTACCTGACCAAATCAGACCAGACCAGACCAACAAATTTCAGTCCAAAAGAAAACATCATAACTAGTTGTTATTATACTCCGGGTTTTTTATATTAAAAATTTAAAATTAGGCAAAAGTAGGGTATATTAACTATTAGTAATTAAAAGAATCCTTAATATAATTTGGTATCATACGTATTTGAAGTGTTTACGTGAATATTATTAAAAAGTAGATTATGAAATAAAAATGTGATTTCTTCTAATTTTCATATTTATTAAACTTACTAAATTATCCATACTCGACTTTATATGATAGTGACATGACCCGCCATAATGGCATCCGCCGTACTTACACCCCCGGTTGGTGACCGCCACCGGTCATAGTGTGTGGCATCGCCACAGTGACCACCGCCCTGCTGATGATGACACCGGAGCCATCACCCCTATGAGTGAGACCACCTATGTCACCTACCCCAGCCCCCTTTCTAGCTCTTCAGTCGTAATCCCCCTCCCCCGGTCCTCAGCTCCCAGTCCCAATATCCACGGCCGTAGGCCTCCTTCCCTGAGCCACTAACCACAAGTCCACAACACCTACGTTTTCTGTAGCCCCGACTTGACTAGCCGCACAAAATCCTTCTCATCGCTCCCTAATCCTACCTTTTCCCTACCGTCTGCATTACCCCCCTAGCCCAACCCCTCCCAGAGTCCCAGGTTACCGCCCCGATTCCTCCCAATGTGATGTGACAGACGAAATTTCACATCTACAATCCATTATACTACATTATTACTTTCATCCATATATGTTTCATCCATCACATATATGATTTTACGTCAATCATAAAATTGACAAAGTCTTGAAGGACGGAAGTAGTAGTAATTTATATCACAAATCAAACCACAATATGATACTACGTAATACATTGATACAAATCGGATAAACACAAATTGAGTTGATAATAAAGAAATTTCACTAACAATGTATCTTTCATTTGATGGACTTGGTATAAACTAAGACCTAAGAGAAAAGAGAAAAAAGTGACACAAACAAAATCATCACCATCCATCATCATGCAGTGAAAGAGAGCCTTCTAGGATCCTTTACATCAACCCTCCAATGCTCATCAGGAAAACTCCCATTCATCATAGCAATCCTTCTCCATTTCCGAATCCTGGCATCCATCTCACCACTCAGTCCACAATACTTCTGCAGACTTTTGGGCATTTTCTCATACACAGCCCACCACTTCTCATGAGCAGAATCACTCGCAAATTTGTGGTACTCCAACCTGTCCCAGTTACAGTCATAATCTCGATAACACGCCCATGGCTTCAACCCCAAATAATGTATGGCATATACATCTTCAGGCAACCGGTGTTCAGAGGCGGATGTAGAAGTTTGAGTTTGGTTAGGCTGAAAAGCAATTATACAAGACTTAAACGTCAGCGAGTGAACTGTATATGAAAACTGAAAAACGTTACACTGAAAATTGAAAAATCAAAATGTCAGATTTCATGGTTTCAGCTCACCATAGCCTTAACGTAGATCCTCTTCTCCTCATCGTTATGATTATGGTTCGCGAAAACCTTGAGCCTGTTCACACCCATGGGCAGCCTATGCCACCACACAAACATCTCATTCAGGAAACCCTGGTCGCCTCCATTGTATGAGGCGACCTCGTACCTCCTCTCCATCAGCGCTTTGAAAGTGCATGTGGAGGGCTCCAGGACCATGACCCCGGAGTTGAAGAGGTGGTTGTCATTCCCGGCGGCGGAGAGCTCCGGGAACGAGAAGAAGGCATCCATGTTCTTGACCACGATGATGTCGGAGTCAACGAAGATGGCTTTGTCGTACCCCATCGCTGCCAGCTTCTCCCATATCCGGAGCTTGCTATAGTTCCACTCGTTGTAGGCGTCTCTCGCCGCGTGAGGGCTGCGGATCCGCTCGATCGGCGCGGTGGTCCACCCGGCGAGGCGGAGGCCGGCGAGGGAGTGGGCGGAGATGGAGGAGTCGGCGAGGAGGACGAGGTCTTTGGTGGAGTTTGACTGGATGATGCTTTGACCTAATGCTATTGCTCCGCAGACGTACTTCTCCGAGGAGTGGAGAACCGTCACGTATGCTTCTCTTTGTTTCTTCACTGTTTTATTTGAGAAAATGGCTGCAAATAATTTATTTAAATTAAAACATGAATGATGAATTGACTTAGCAAATATAGTATTTTTATAGGAACAAACAAGACTTAACGGATCAAAACAGATATCCATAATTATATACATACAAAACGACCAAAAGTACGGAGTACCTACTTCAATACTTTAGAATTTCAAAACTTTCTTATTCATATTTTGCAATTTCCCTCACACTTTAACTCCAATGAGAGCATTATTTTAGCGTGAATTACTCTTCTATATTTTATACTCTTATGAAAACCACCAATAAATAAAGGTGACAACTCCGGTACCTTTTAAAAAATTAGTATCGTACCTATTAACCATTTGATTGGACCACATCACTTTATCTTTTTTAATTTAGATTTAAATAATTCAATTGCAACATTCTCATTGGTCCATGTGGACAAAGGTATGGTACCTTATGGGTACCATAGAATCTACCATAAATAAATTTGGTGAAAACAATTAATTTTTTCTGAACGGTACAACAATTAAACTTAAGAAAAACATCACAAGGATAATTAAACTAGGAGGCCGTTTGGCAACCCGGTTTTTCAGCTTATCAGGCTTATCAGCCAACTTTTTCACCAAACACGTAACTTTTACTTTCGCGCGTTGAATTGTGTAATAAGCAGAAAAAGTAAGGACGGTGTTACTTTTCTGGCTGTATTGGCTGAAATTAGTGTAGATGACTATTTTATCTATTTTTACATATAAGTTTTTCTTTATTTTATTAATAAAATATATTTTAAAAATATTTTTTTCTTAAATCAGCAAAATCAACCAATGCAGTCACTTCAGCTACAACTTCATAAATTTCAGCAGAACCAGGCAAAGCAGCCGATTTTCGTGCTACCAAACGGGCTCTAAAATTGAATGCGAACATAAATCTTTAAAATTACACAATCTAAGTATCCAAGTATTTAAATTTAATCTTTCAAAAATAAAGTATTGCAATTTAATGTCCATGACATCGCAATAAATCAAGTAGTAATTTAATTATACTCTATATAAAGATGCTAACGATTATGCATCGGAATATAATGAATGCTAAGAACTTAAAAGGATATGATTTAATTAATTTTGTTGAAGGGAATTAATATGTATACACTTATGTGTACACAACTGGATGTTCCTCGCAAAAAAAAATTTAATAATGTTCTTCTCTGGTCTGGTCTGTTCTTATCTGGTTTGGTCTGATAAATGTTTAGTCTATGCGTATTTTATAATTATCCAAGTATGTTCTTGTCTTGTCTGATTTGTTCTGATCTGGCCTGATCTGGGATTGAAAATAATCCAAATAAAAACATGGTCGAATAAAATATGTAATAATTCTTTGGATCGAGTAATAGATAAAATTTAATTACCGTGTTGAACCACCGGACGAGCAAGTTGGCATGAACCCATGGGCATATCCACCTTTTGCTTCAATTTGTGAAAATTGGGCTTGTAAATTCTAACATCTTCCTCATTCCATAACAAATCCTCACACCCCAAAATTTCAAACATGGGCTCGCATTTGCCAATGAACACAACGTAAACTGTCCCACTTCTTACCACCAAATTACTCACTACCAAATTTACTTGTAACTTATAGACATCCCTCTTGTTATCACCACATGGTGCCTTTGCTATCACCACGTCTAGCCCCGAGTACTTGTTCGGGTCGGGCATGGGAACCGTTGGACACTTATGTCGACTTGAGGTAGTGCTATCTTCATCGATCCACTCCGGAAACAAATTGCTCCATTTTATATGTTGGGAGACACGTCGAAATTTTACATTTACAATATCTACATTTTCACGGAACAACAAGCTGTTATGTAGCTTCACATCAACCAAACCGATTCTCATCATCTTCTTGTGCATGAGCTCATTCGCCAGAAAAGCATACCAACTTGGAGATTTCTTCAAATTGAATCGGGGAGAAAGATGGTGTGGGCTTAAAAAATAATGTAAATCAGTAAAGGTCAGGTAGAGGGCAAGTAGGGTGAAAAAGATGAGAAAAGTCATGAAGCATTTAGGCTTAGTTAGAGGAGGTTTGGAAACCATTTTTGCATTGCATGTAATTGTGTTTGCCTGCATGGTGTACATATATTTATACACTTACGTCTTAACTATTTTACCAAATAAAGTCATATCAACAACAACAGAAATTTAAATTGGAGACGAAATCATTTCAAATGGTGCGCCAATGTAGGCATGCATATTTAGTTCGTTTTTATGGTTTTCATTTCCTAACCATTTCTGGATTTGTATTTGCTGGTTTAAAAAATGATAATTAACGACAAATAAATATTGATAGTGTACTACTTAAATGATATTTGTACGTCGTTACTAAAAATACGGGATTGGTAAGGATTTTGTCAGATATATTCGTCAAAATATATTTTGACACGAACTATTTCGTACAAAATCATCCACCAATTCATTTGTGTCAATTCATATTTTTTGTCATGCATGCGGAACAGACAAATTAAATTAACAACTGCAAATATACTCCATAGTATATTAATATTTTAACGAACAACACATCATAGTCACATGATGATAAATAATGTACTACGTAATAAAAATAGTAAATTTGATATAAATATTGACATTCATGTAATTTCCATTGTTATGTTTGCATTTTTAATTAGTTTTATAGTTTGTTATTTTGGAAATTACACGCTTTTAGTGTAATACTTTAATTTGTTAAATATTTGTAATTTGTTTTGATTAGGATTATTCTGAGCTTAGGACATGTCAAAATCATCAAAAGGATCAAATGA